ACACACACACACACACACACACACACACACACACACACACACACACACCTCACCACACCTCTGCCGTCTGTTTCGTCAAACACTACTGAAGGAAATGAGAAAGCTTTTGCCTCTAGATTAATATTATTACTTTGTTTAGCAATCACTGGACTGAATGGCTGCTGGTTAAACATTAAATGTGCTCATAATGGGCCCACAGATCTTGATCATTCTGTTCTTATTTATACACTTAGATGACTGAGTGTATTGCAGTAAAACTCCCTCGCATGGTTTTATTAGAAGCCAGTTTAAGATTTAACTTGAATTCAGTTTGTGTGCAGTAATGCTAGTAATTGTTGCCATGACATAAACAATAGTTGGTTAATGTCATGGCAGTGGCTTTTTTATGATGCTGCAGGATTCTAAGTGTCTCCAGTGCAAAGCATACTGTGTGTTTTATTCATGCATCTTATAATTCATCAAAATGCTACATGACTAATATTAAATACTTTGAAGGGTCAGCAGTATAATCGCCGGTACCCCGTCTCAGTTTTGTATATTGTAGCATGTAAGTATCATAAATCTCTCATGCACGGTGTAAACAACATCAGACTCTACCTTGCTGTGGGATGATCTTTGTGAGATTCATCACAAAGAAAACATTTTTTAAATCCAGATTTTCTCTTTTTTTCGTGATCAAAAGAGAAGAGTTGGAGTATCAGCATCACTGACTGTTTAAACCTGATAAACTGTTTGTATAGAAAGTGACGGACAAATAGTTTTTTGTTGTTGTTCTTTCAACAGGATTTTCCCCCGGGAATACCTCCTACAGCACATCCACCTGTACTCCCTGGCTGACCTGCAGCAGGTACATGCACACATCCAGAGCTACATGCACACAGAATAGGATGCATATACCATCGAGCATTAAGGGTCTGGGTGAAACATGTTTTGATACTTTAATCATTTGAAAGTCGCCTTCTGTATGTACTTGTGAGAAAGCAGCCATGCACGCTTTGGTAAGCCCATCGTGTCTTTTAAACTGTGACTCTGTGTGACAGCATTGCTCTTTGACTTGGATCAGTCCTGTTTCTGTGTCAAGTATCTCTAATAATAATCAAAAAAAGCTACCACTCATGTGCCATCTGTGGAAATGCACGCAGCTCTCCTGCTCGCCGATAGATTCTGCTGCTGCAGATATATGATAAACTCAGAATGTGTTTTTGAAGCTGGAAGCTACAAAATCATTTCAGCACCCATTAATATTTTGTTAAAACTCTGGATTGTGTTCAATAGTGGTATATTTGACTAAACCACAATGTTTGTAATAGACTTAAAATTGAGTAGAAGAAAGCATACAGTCCATCAACAGGCCACCTAAAATGTCAGCGCTGAACTGAGCTGCTTGCCACGTTTTTAAATTATGTATTTTCGTGTTTGAATACAAATTGAAGGTTTAATGTAGAATAAGGCATAAAGCATAGATTATAGGCTTGAATAAACTTAAATAAACAAGTAAAGCAGCATTTGGTTTGTCAGTGTCTGTTAGAGAAACAGATTATGATGCTAAAAATGACATTTTCAGTCTGTGTCAATCATAATATGGTGACCAGTGTTTGAAAAAACTATTTTTTTTTCTTTTTTTTTATGCTTCATTCATTGTTTCATTAGTCATTGGAAGATATGTTCCTTTATTATCAAGAGCACACAAACATTTGCAAATTTTAATGTCATAGCAGATAGAAGCTGTGAAAAGGAGCTCATTTAGCGATCAAGTCTGCACATGTTCACCGCTCATACGACTCGGCTCAGAGATGGGTTTCATTCATTACCAAAGTCATACACTGAATTCCCAACGCAGGAGCTATTTACTAGAGCAGCAAATATGTATTAATCCACTACTAAAAATAGACCTCAGCAAGAGTCGATGAACCACAGCTGAGAGCAGCAAACAGGGACGTGACTAACACATTGGTTTTTTTCCTCTTTTCGTCCGATTTGCCAAAAGGTTGTGTTGCGTTTAAGTAAACACAACCTTTCCTTTGTTTCTTTGGCGAGTGTCCGTGTCATAACAGTGATAAGAAAGGGTGATATCCTCCATCAGCCTCATTTGGAGACTTTAAGTATCCAGATTGAGAAAACAATGGTCTGGCATCTTATCCTCATGACTCTGCGTTATTACTCTGCAGTAACAAAGAGACTTTGGCATTTTAGTGAATCACCAGATTTTCTCATTAAATTGCAAACGCTTATATCTGTGAATGAGTTTAAAAGTCGTCATGTCTTTTTGAAATTATCAGTGAGGAGATTTTAAAGAGATTTGCATAGATTCTTATTATTTTCTTTATTGCTGCCTTTTTTTAGCACCGAGTTGCCGGACTGAGTTGGGGGGGGGGTCAGAGGAAAGCGACCACAAATGACTGAAAAGTTCTTTTGTTTTTCATTATGTTCATTATGTTGTACCCTGCCCCATTTTTTTCTTTCATCCTGCTCTTACTCAGAGCTTGGCCACAGACTCTCACGGTGAAAGAGATTGGAGCCCCCCCTCCGCCTCCGCCTCTATCTCCACCACCTCCTCCTCCACTCCCACACTCTGTGTCTCTCTGCTTCACTAATTGGTCACATTCAGAATCAACAGGCAGAAAAACAAAGCGTGACATCCTTCCATTCTTCTAAACATCGCCTTGGCCTCACACACGCTCAGCACACATGTGTTGAGTGTGTGTGTGTGTGTGTGTGTGTATGTGTGTCTTTTTCCTGCTTAAACTCTGATTTTCTGTCATAAACTCTAAACTGGGGATTTTGAATTAATTTCAACAATGTGTGTCTTTGGGAGAGAGTGCACTGCTCCCTCTCCCCCTCTCTCACCCTTCCTCCCACAGATTCTTGAGCACTCTGCCTCTTAATTGGTTTTCCATATTAACAAGCTTGTTTCTTTTGATTCGCCTCCTGAATAAAATGCCACTCTTAATCAACGTGGCTTTTTTTGTTCCACCCCAGAGGTCAGTGAAGGCTCAACTTCCCTGGCTAAAGCCCGGGACACACCAGTCTTTTTTTTTTTTTTTTTTTTTTTTTAAAACCTCCCAACAAATAGCCTCCACCCATATCGCCTATTAGAGACCCATTGGTTTTGTAGAAGCCATATGTGTTTGTCTAAGGATGCTCTGCACCATCCCTCTGCTTGCTTTAAGGATGGTTTCTAGGAAAGAAAAATGCTTGTGTGTACGCAGACAGCAGGCTTCCCACAGTGACACCCTGGCATTCCCTGTATACCAGGCATGCCTCTCCACTCACACTTGTCCAGGCACACAGAGGCCTCTTGAGGAAGTGCTATATGTTCTCCGGAAGATTTCTCCTCATGCCTTTAATTGTAAGGGGAGCTTTAACCTCAAATATTCAAGCAATCCACATAATAAGAGCTATTTTTGTTAAGAGATTGCACAATGCTAATACTGGTCGCTATACAGTTTCTTAGACTATATGTGACGATTTATGATGTCTGTGGAGGTTTTTGAGTGGCAATGGCATGGGGCAGGTTGATAAAATGTATGTAATTAAAACACAGCTGCTATGTAGCTGTTCCTTGTGAGATTAAAATGTCAATCAAAGCCTATTTCATAGAGACCTGCAGTTGTATTAATCCCTTGTCATGGTAAATCTGGCTTTTGTTGTCCCAAACACTCCTAATAAAAAAGGTTAGCAGTAATTTAGAAACTGTGATCCATTACAATTTCTACAAATGTAGATTTTTAAAGACTCCTGTTTCAGCGCATCTGGTTAAAGTTGATTTTTATTTTGAAATTCTTTTTTTAAGTATCCGTTAAATTTAATGGATCTGTGTCAAAATATTAAGTGTTATGTCTTTATATCGTTGTCTATACCAGAGGTAGGCAACTCCAGGCCTCAAGGGCCAGTGTCCTGCAGGTTTTAGATGTTTCCTTGATCCAACACAGCTCATTTAAAAGGCTAAATGACCTCTTCGACATGTCTCTAAGATCTCCAGAGGCCTGGTAATGAACTAATCATTTGATTCAGGTGTGTTGACCCAGGATGATATTTAAAACCTGCTGGACACCTTGAGGCCTGGAGTTGCCTACCCCTGATCTATATTCTTGTCTCTGTTGCGATTTCCCTTTAACAATCATCACTTATGGTGTGCATACGTTTGAAGATGCAGTATGTAAAACTGTTGGTTTTTAAGCCATGATTGATTGCCATGATGTTTGTTACTTCATTAGACGTCTGTGTGTTGTGTAGCAGAAATATAGCCTGTAGCTAATGCTGGCCTGCACATCAACATTGGGGAAGTCTTTGTATTTATTTTTTTCGTATAGTCCATGGTTACTGTCAGTCATGTCAAGTAAGGGGGTGTCTGTCTCGGTGTGAGTGGCACTCTAGAGCCACACCAGAGTAAAATTAGGACAGCAACCTCCTTGCAACTAGAATTGGTAGCTGCCACATGATCACAACTATCAATCCAATGCTGTCCCGCACCAACTACCTGACTATTGCTGGAGGAATTTCTGAATTTCTGTTTCAGTTCTATGAATTTGTAGCTGGATTCTTAATCTAAGTAATTCATATGAATCACAAACAGATTGAGTGTACTCGGCAACTTGAGACATTCAGTCACAAACTGGTTGCAGACTCATTCCGTCTTATTGTCGCCTTGATGCACCAAAGTTGCTTTCAAGACAGCAGATGATTGTGAGGGATCACAGATCTTGTTTTTGTCTTCGAAGCTGTCAAAGGCAGTAAGATCAGTCTAGTGCCTCTCATGACGTCAAGGGCTCGAGGCTTTGTCCCCGCAGCAAGCCAAGGTGTGTTTCCTACGAGCAAATCAAGTAGCTTGGTTAATTTTTAATCCTTTAAGAGGCTAAATCATCTTTTTTCTACTATCGCTGTGTGCCTTAGTAGAAAATAAATAGAATTATGTCACTAAAGAGTAAAGTATTCTATTGTGCCATTAAGGTTGGATTTTTAAACTAAAAAGAAATAAAAGCATCAGAGAAACACGTTTCTTACATCTGCTCAGCCAGAAGATTACTTGGAAGTCTGGGGATTTTAGGGGAATCTCCTGAGAAGACAGACTCTACCATCCATACACTGACATCCAACATACGTCAGGTTTTCTGTGTGTGTGACACAGAGAGAGGAGAGAGGGTGTTATCCAAACAGATCTCACCCTGGTCTTTCCAGCCATGTAATCCCAGCTGGCTTTCTAGTGTCTCAATGGAGCTGCGGTAGTCTGTGTGTGTGTGTGTGTGTGTGTGTGTGTGTGTGTGTGTGTGTGTGTGTGTGTGTGTGTGTGTGTGTGTGTGTGTGGGAGAGGGCGAGTGAGAGAGGAGGGCAGGCGAACGGCTGTTTAACAGCAGTTTTAGGGGATTAGGAGGTTTTGGAGCACAAAGACTCTGCATGGAGCAGAGAAAGAGGTTCAACTGGAGGGGGAGGAGTTTAAGAGGAGGGATGGAGGGAGAGGAGGTGAAAAGTGTGTGTGTTTTCTGGGAGGGTTTTTTGGAGGGAATGAGAGTTAAATAGGTGAATACTTCTACAGCATTGCTCTGTATGCTGAAATGAATTCTGATAGTGCTTCGTGTTTTTTTTGTTAACTATAATCATGAGGACCTTTGCACATTCACTGGTGTAGACGTTCATGGTGACTGGCTTGCTGGGGGATGGACTAGCAGCTTGTGAGCTGCCATTCAGTCTCATTGTTCTAGTTGGCAGTTCAAGCTATTAATGTCACTTACCTTAAGTATGAATTATGCTCAAATTCCAATTTTTAGACAGCACTTTTAACTGAATGGTTCCAGGTTTATTTATTGAAACTAAACTCAGGAACTAGTTTCTTTTGTAAGGAGGTGAAAAGGGAAACTAGAGAATTTTGATTTGAAGATAACTGAATGTACTGTACTTTATGTTCTTTTTAATAATCCCAATAATTTCCCAGTTTGTTTTGCTCTGCAGTATATTTTTTGTATATTGAGACAGAAGTTGGTCGGTCCCTAAGCGACCATTAAAGACAGCTCTACTGGTTCACCCACACAATCTGGACGGTCGTCAATATTTGGCTTCATTGTTGTTCTGCCCAAGTTGGAAGTTCTAGTCTAAATGATTACCCCATAGTGACCTTGCTGGTCTCAGGGCTTTCGGTATAACTAATAGAAGTGTCTCTGTATATTTCTGGGAAGGCTTTGACAGCTGGGACCTAAATGTGATTAAAGTCACTGAGAAACCAGTTTGCTGTAATTCATTTGAAACGTTTTAAATGAAGAAACTATGGGCAAGAAATAGAAATGGATTTCCTTGTTTTCTTTACGTTGCTTTTATATTCTTCTTCTTGCATATTTATTTCTCACTCTACATCCATCCATCTTTCTGTGCCTTCCTCTTTTCCCATCATCCCCCAAGAGAACCAGCCAGTCACCAGAGCTGTGCTGCCAGTCGTTTGATTCTGCCCAGTGCAATTATAGTGGGCCTTAATTACTGAGCTTGTCAGCCTCCATCAGGAGAGCCATTTGTCATGTGGACTGGGCTGGACCGGACTGAGCAGGCCTACTTAGGTTTGGTGTGGGGGGAGAGGGACACACAAATCTGTGTGCCACTCTCGGTACCTGTCCGCTCGTCTGTCCGTCTGGAAACATTTTTATTTTCTGACTGTTGTTACGTTCTCCCTAACATTAACTTAGGCTGCATTTTGGTTCCACCGTTTTGGTACTCTTAACATTTTTTAAAAATCATGTCGATATCGTCATAATGTAAAGTGTATTTAAATTAGTTATTAATTTTCCTAATGTTTACATTTTTTTTTTTTTTACTTGGATGTAATATTCTTTGACTCCTCTCGTGCTGCTTAGCTTAAATTCTTTCATTCCCTTTTCCACATCTAAAGTTCTCCCCATTGAGTCTACTGGTCACAAAAAATTATATCACCAGTCTCGTACTTGTTTTTCTAAGATGGCTTCAAAAAGCCAAGCACCTGCATATAACCCACATTTTGTTCTCTTTCCCATGGACTGTATTTAAACGATGGACAAAGCCACAGTGAACTCACCCACAGGTTTTGTAAGCTACAATTTTCAAGCCTCACAATTAGCATTTCTGGGTTTTTTAAAACCAGATGTGAACATATTTGGATGGTAGAGCTGGGTGGTTATCAGCTGGTGGAAACAAAATGGAGACTTCTTGCACTACTTCAGCTACTTCTGGTGTGGCAGAGATGAACAAGGGTCTAAATAGGCTGAAGCTCCACAAATAATAGTGTATTATTTGATCAACATGATTTTTGGTGGGTTTTTTGTTTTGTCTTGTTTTTTTTTTAAGTACCATGTTGATCAAGTAAAACTGTTTTTCATACCAGAAACCCTTTAGAGCTTTGTAATCATATATTGTTCTTTAATACAGTCAAACATTCAACAAGAGAAAAAGGCATACATAAAGATGTTTATTTCTGCTCTAAAGTTTTGAAGTTTTCTTCAACTGGTCATAACTTGAAGTGGCCAGTAAAGTTTTTGGTGGCATTTTTCAGGCCTGGAGGTTACCTCTCGACCTTTTTTTAAGATGGTAAAATTACTAGAATGAATCCTGTTGTTAGTTAAATATTGGTCCAAGGCATCAGGCTCGCTTTCTTCCAAAGGCTAATCATTTTGTATTTTCTTTATGTTTGTAAAGGTACCCTATAGGTTTTTAAATCCATTCAACTTAATGAAAGTGTAGCAGTCTTTGCTTTGGTCCTGTGACTCAGTGCAGAGGGAATCACTGTACCTCAGTGTGCTGGGTTTCCTCTGTGTAAGTGTGGTTTCTTCCTCCTCTCTACGTCTCTCATCCTCTCGTCCTCATCGTCTAACAAACAGCATGAAGGAGGTTATAATTGGCAGGTCCAGAGCTCTGCCAGGTGGAACCACTTGTATCTGAATACAGGCTCTCGCCCTCTCTCAAGATCTCTCTTGTATATTGAATCTGCTACTCTTTCTCTTACTTTCTACTCTGTTTTTTTCGATTAAATTTCTCCCTCTGTCTTACATATCCTGGGTTATTAAGCTTATAGCACTGTCTGCACTGTTAACAAGGTACAGCAAAGCTTGAAGCCATGTTGAGTTGTTATATCTGTTAAGAGTCTGTACACCCTTTCTGTGCAGTCTCTCATCGTCTATTCACGACTCCACAACTCGAGCCCCCCACTGCTAAGCCCCCCATCCCTCAGTTCTTTAAGGAACTTGCCAAGCGTTGCCATCAAAAGTTGTTCACCTCATACACTGTTCGCCTTACTTCCTTTAGTTTCCTGTCTTGTTTTTCTGCCTTTTCAGCAAGCATTCAACTTTGTTTTGGTCCTTGAATGTGGCGTCGCATTAGTTTCCTCATTTGTCATTTCCCTCCATTCCCCCATATTACTTTCATACATGTCTTTGCCCCAGATCAACTGCACTTTCTAAAACTCAGCTGAATTTGCTAAACAATCTTGGGGGAAGCCAACACATCCTTGCCCCAAGATGATCTTGAAACATTTGAAGGGACCATTTTAAGAAAGTACTGCTAGGTACATACGCACATGGCGGCGACGCAGAATGAGAAGAGCGAAAGCGGATCGTTAAATGAAACAGATGAACCAGAACTGGTTTGTAAAAATGCTGCAACTTCAGTGGTGTGGAACTGGTTTAGCTTTCGTCCCTCAGATACACAACAAAGCACTATTTTTGGTAGCGCATGCTAGCGGGCCGTCGTTATTACCGTGTTGTTTGGAAAATACGGCACACTTAAAATCAATCCTTTGATTTTTCTGAAAGTCGACAGAATCAGAATCAGAATCAGAAAGGGGTTTATTGCCAAATGTTGAGCAGGTTTACAACATTAGGAAATTGCTGCGGTGCTTCAGTGCAAACATAGTGTCATAAATAGCACTTAAATAGACATGGAAAAATAAAAGTAGGGATAAGAATTAAAAGAGCCCCTTATAATCCCGTGTGCCTTATGTATGAACTCTGGTTGTGTTTACTGACCTCGAAACAATTTTATGCACACGGCACTCGAGAATCTGTCAAATGTTTTAGTACGACTTTGCTAAGCTACGAACCCACACCGCTTGATGGATTGTCGGAGCATTACGGCTATCGTAGGCAGGAGCCTCACAGAGTGATACGTACTGTGCTTCAACATCTTGTGTGTGTATAACCTCTTTTTAAGTTTTGTGGATATTATACATGGTTATGCTGAGGATATGTCGGCCAATTTCCACTGGAAATGCCTTTTGGTTAAACTGTCAGCGAGGAATTTGCACTGTTAAATTTTTATATAACTTTAATGCACATAAAAAACAGCTGCTTGTTTAAGTGAAAATACATTGATGTTTTGGTTTTTTGCACTAATAAAGTTGAGGAGTTGTAAAGTGTTTTGTCTAATGATTATATCGTCAGTTACATCGTTATCGCAAATTTTCAAATGTATATCGTGATAAATATTTTTGGTCATATCGCCCTGCTCTACTATTGTCTCTACTGCATGTGATTAGGAGACTGAAACAGTGTCTGGTCAACATAGCTGATCCTTTGCCTCTGGTTTAATAACTAAAGAGTTCACTAGTATAAAACTGGTGTATTATACTGAAATCTGTGATTATTCATCTGTACGCATGATATTATGATGGGGGCATGAGCCCCCTAAAGGTTAGATCATAGAAATGCCCCTGCCTTTCAGCAACCAAATCTGCATGAGCTACAGTGCTAGCTCCTGGCACATTAGCAGAGAAGTACAGCTGTTTGTCATCTGCATAGCAAGGATATGAAATGTCTTTGTCAGTCAGACATGTAAAGACACATATATTGGCAACCTTCAAACATTCCAGTAAGGAGGATGATGCTTCTCTGTTGGTAGACTGACTTAATAAAACTGCTATAATAATAATAATAATAATAATAATAATAATAATAATAATAAAGCCTTCAATGTCATGTTTTATTTCATAGGTGTCAAACTCTGGCCCGCGGGCCAAATTTGGCCCACAGCCTAATCACATTTGGCTCGCGAAGCCATACCAAATTATTATTATAGCTGGCCTACTGGTATTATACAGCTAATATATATATTGTTTAGTATTAAGCTTTGCTTGTTCCATATTCAGTTTTTCAGCAAAACGTGTTTGAGTCCATAAGAAAAGATTCATTCTTATATCTGGAGGAATAAATATTTTTCAATAAATATTAATGTTAGCCCGCGACTTTGTTCCAGTTTTGAACTTTGGCCCACTGTGTATTTGAGTTTGACACCCCTGTTTTATTTGATTACATTGTCCCTCTGTTCAGCACTTTGGCTGACACTTGATGTCTCTTAAATGTGCTATACAAATAAAGCTGACTTGACTTGATTGTCAAAATATTATAGTTTAAGCTGCTTATTATAAAATTGCTTTCTGAATTAGTTATATTAAGTTAAATGTTATCAAACACATTCATTAGGAATTTTGTTTAAACATTAAATGTATATGTTGAGCTATGATGCATGCTTTAGTACTTTTAATTTAGTTTTTTACCTCTGTGCGTGTGACTAATACTTTATTGGCCACCCAAAGATTTTCAACTTGTAAGAAAAAACTTAAAAAGGAAAAGATAAAAACAGACAAAGGATGAGTTAGTGGGCTTAAAAAAGATAATGAAAGAAATCAGAAGAAGAAACATAGCAACTGTCACACTTATTGTTTCATTTCATGTATTTCTTATGTCTCCTGCTGCTCATCTTTTTTATCCCTCACACCCGTCCATGCTTTCTTATCATTCTCTAGGTGATTGATGGAAAACTCGCTCCTTTCCTGTCCAAGGTGATCAAGTTTGCCAGCTCACATGTTTTCAGCTGCAGCTTGTGTCGAGAGAAAGGCTTCATCTGTGAACTCTGCCAAAACGGGCAGGTCATCTATCCCTTCCAGGAGAACGCCACCCGGAGGTACACATCCTTCGATAACCTTTCTACAAGTTAAACATGACTGGTTTTACATTTGGAAGATCAGTGCACATAACTGATAGTTTCCAGATAAATGTATTTAAAGTTGACTCAGTGGAGTCAGGAGACTTTATTGACTCAGTAATTGTTTTGAATCCAGAAATTGATTAAAAACAGTTTGCATGGGAGAAAGCCGGGTGAGCTGACACTTTGCTATCTGGAAATGAGGTGCTAACGTGTACGTGAGTTTTTGAGCACCAAGACTGAGTCTGCTGTTTGTTACTAACACTGGTTGGCATGAGAGGTGTGTGTGTGTGTGTGTGTGTGTGTGTGTGTGTGTGTGTGTGTGTGTTGTGTGTGTGTGTGTGTGTGTGTGTGTGTGTGTGTGTGTGTGTGTGTGTCTGTGTGTGTGTCTGTGTGTGTGTGTGTGTGTGTGTGTCTGTGTGTGTGAGATGTCGACAGTGTCCAGAACCTCGTCCCCATCACTGAAATTCAGAATGACAGATATCACAGAGATAAGAGCTGATCAGGACCAATACTTGAAAGACTGTGAGCTCTGGACGTACACACACCCTACTTGTTGAGCTGTGTTTTATGACTTGAGAAGTGTTAACTGATAACAGTCATATCTGCTGTCCTTACTGGAACAGAGCTGTAAAGATTTACTGAGCTGTTGACTTAGTTACACATACTCAGAAGATGCAGGAAATGAGCAATAACTGGGCATTAATTGCCCATCCTACTTCATGGACAGTTCCAATCTATTGCTATCAGATTACAATGTAGTCTTTGTGGTTTTAACAGTGAATCATATTATGGAATATTGCAATATGCATTTCACTTAACAGTTTGGAAACTACATTTTATCAGTTTATAGTTATCGATTTATTTGGAGCTTAAAGTCATTGGGAAATCATCTAAAATGCCAAAGGAAACAGGAAAGAGCTTGTTGGCCTGGACACTTTGGTTAACCAGACACTCGTATTTCTTGACTCACTCAGTGTAATCAGCAGGTAACTTAAGACCCATTATCAAATCTATATGCGCTTCTCAGTATCACTTATTAATCACTAGTAGTAAAAGTGTTAGACTTCGTTGGAAGTTTGGTTGTTTCCTTTCTAACCAAAATTTAGGTGGGAGCCCTGATGCCACTTTCACTGGTATAACAAACACTTGCAGCTGATTTGCTTAATTTTAAAAAGATTATTTTTAATTACAAAAATTCTGTTATAGTTTTGGACACTTAGTAAACTTGGTTAAAGTTTCAAATTCAGACTACCTTAAACACTCAATTAAAAAAAAAATTCAACTCCTAGCTCTGCATGATGTCATTGAGCACAAAAGCCACACCCACCTGCAGTTCAAACCTTCTGTTTTCAAGGGTTAGCAAATCAGAAGAAAGCTGGTTTCAAGGTAGGAGGAGCAGCTCAGGTGGCTTATTTAAGAAAGGGAATGAAATTGGATTGCACCAGTAATCTGAGTACAATAAATATATTTAGAAGTCAGATTCATGCAATGCTTTAGTAGATAGAAATGATACATTCTCAAATATGTTTACTTAGCCTTACCCTGAACTGCCAAAGCATAAGGTCATGCCACATGTATGCACCATAAAGACCTAATCTCATAATCTCACCACACAGTCACCATCCACTCCTTCCTCACATAATTCGCCACTCAGTCCTGCAGGGCCAAATGACGCCTCATGCATGGCAGTTGGTATGGAGTCTGAATCTGACTCTCTGATAGTGTCCTTGTACAGCTGGTGAAACTTGACCGACGTGTGTCTTTGTGTTTGTAGGTGTGACAGCTGCGGCGCCGTTTTCCACGCCGAGTGTCGACAGAAAGCACAGCCGTGTCCTCGCTGCGTTCGCCGGGAACTCCACCACAAGAGGCCATCGTCCTTCTGGTCACCTGATGACGACAGCCCAGGCTGTTTCCCCGTGCCCTACCAAGACACCTGAGACAAATACCCGCAGGAGCCATAACAAACAGGGCACCGCCGCCCAGCCATCACCCTGGACAACAAGGGCCTGTTTCTCTGATTTGTGTGTGTCTGCAGGATGGACCTTGTGGGAGCAGTGACCAGGAAGTGGACTTGGAGCACTTTGTTGCAGCGTCAGGTTTGTGTTTTTGTGTGTGGACTTGCCAACGCACACGCCTGAGCCGAGCACCCTTTGGTTTGCTGTAAAGAGCAGGAAGAAAACCAACTGAAGAACTGCTGAGTCAGGCTCTACAGATCAAACTACTTGCATTTTGTAGTCCAGCACAAACAGATTATCCTCTGATTATCCTTATCCCATCTCCTCCTCACTCCTCATTCCTACCTTTTACATTTTTCCAACTGCAGGAGTTAGATCTGCATAATCGAAGCTGATCAACTGGAGGAATTCAAGCTTAAAAACAATGTTGTGGATTGTAGCCACCTGCTCTCAAAGTCCAGCTTAAGTTTAACAATAAAATGAGTAGTCAACAGGCAGAAAACTAGTATACAATCTCGGCAATGGATGTGTAAAAAAACATTAAATTTGCTGCTCTCTTTTGGGTGAAATAAGCAAATTTTGAAATCCCCCTCCTCCGAGACCATGCAATGTTTTTGTCTTTGTTTACAGACTAAAATAGAGAATAACTGAAAACGGATCTGTGTGTAATGGAAATGCGTCAACTCATGTTAAAGTGATAGAGCTCTCAAAACTTCAAACCCTCTTTTCACCATTTTTCCTTTCAGAGAGAAAGAGACATGTATTTATGTCAGCAGTCAAATATTAAAGGGTAAGGTATCAGTTTATTAATTTTATAATGGTAGTCAAAACTGAAACACATTTTATAAGCTGTATTTTTTTTCCATGTTCTTATTGACCACTGATAAGGGAAAAAAAAACATTTTAACAGAAGCTATTTGGTCTAAAACTCCACAGTCCTCAGTCTGCAATCAAGACTGAACCTGAGATCACTTTCAGAACATGCTAGAGTGAATGAAGTATACAAACGGTGTCCTTTGTAATAGGATTTAAAAAGTGTGTTTTAATGACGAGTGCAGGACAGGAAGGCGTGATTCAAATAAGCTGTTTTTACATGAAAAGAGTGCCAGGAGGAAAACTTCTCAAAACAGTCCTGCAGCACAATCAGCTGCTTTACCCACATAAGAGCAGATTTCCTATAATATTACTAAAATCACATCTTCTCTGAAAGCACAGGTGCGCTGACGCAGAGTGGCTCATAAAAATCATAAGACCAGATTTCACAATAGTGCCACAAATTGTTGTCGAGATGCTCAAAGTCCCTGAACAGAGTTACTGTAAGTGACAGATTATTTTTTCAGCGGGACTCAAATGTTCTCAGCTTGTCTCGTAATGACAGTATTAATTTACTAAGTCAGCTAATATTTGTATTATTTATAATATTTTTACTGTAGTGTGCGATAACTCTGACAGCATTTGGAGCACGTGGATAAACCCAGCAGAGTGGATTCTGCTGCAGGGCTGTTTTAATGAGCAGTGTTTTAGTTTGTTTTTTTTTAAACTGTGGCAACGTGTCTGCAGTGACATTTACAGTCTGACTAAATCCAAACTGACCACAGCTGCTGCTGTTCTGAAGAAACAAAAAAAATAATGTGTATGAAAGTATAAAAATTCTTCCCCTCTCTTCTACTTATAAGTTATTTAACGTGTGGATTTTCACTCACTCACTTGATCGCTGTTTCTTTAGTGCAGACTCTGTCAGTGTGTTTGGGCACGTTTTCTTCCCTCCATCACTCTGACTGTAAAATAACAAAAGGGGCAATAATATAAACTGTAACTTAATTGTTTATTGTTGCCTTTTCCCCCTCCTGTGTCATTCTACTTCCTGTTGTGCTTTATTCATGCAGAATCTATCAAGCATGATAGCAGCTTTAGCGTTTTAGTATCTCTATGCAACCTAGATGGCCTTTATAATCCACAGCTCTGATGTGTAAAGGTCTGGGAACATGTTCTTTACAGTGCTGAACGAGCTGTGTTTACATCAAGTTTTAAGAATATAATAATGAAAGGAAATTAATCAAATTAATTTTCTGTCTTCTTTGCTGGTTTAAGAGTAAATAATTAAATCCTGCTATTTTTTTCTGGTTTGGTGTAGAGTGAAATGTTGGATACAGTGAGCTTTTATTTTTTCTACATAAAATATGAAACTGCTCCAATCAGTAAAAGATAGTAAAGTCTGCCTGTAGTGATCGATGAAAGCTGCACTCTCTTTGTTTTTAGGCACTGCTATAAAATCAGGTTTCAAATATATTGCAAACCAGAAAATATTGGATTTCGCAACATCTTAAGACTCAAGGACTGCAGCTTTAAAGTTCAATATGCCAAAATGTGTAATATGTTTTGTTTTTTGTCTTTTGTTTTTCTTCCTAACAAGCTGAAATCTCAGTGCAGACTTTTTCCCATCTGTCCTTTCTTAACCTCCTCTTCATCAGCTTGTTTGAGCCATAAAATTACATCAATGTTGAAATGTGACAAACTTCAGCTCTGGCTTGATTCAGGAATATGTGTTTTTGTGAGATCAGTGACAGTTCTACGTGTTTGTGAAGCACTCAGGATGCTGCGCGTTGAAACTAAATAGGTGTTTGAGCTGAAATTAAATCATTTTTATTTATTTTACTTATTTATTTTTGTTTGTTTTAATGGTCATAACTGAAGTCATGTCGGGTGATATTAAAAACGGTGTTTAAGTTGTCGATTGATCGTGCCTGCTGCATAAAAAACTTTTGTTTTTGTTTTGTTTAATGAAGTTTTTTATTATTATTATTACACTTTTTGAATGTGAACTCATGCTGTTTTTGTACTTTGGAGCCCAGCAGAGGTCAAAGATCATTTAACTGTTTATCACACAGATCAGAGTTTTGCAGGGGGAATAAATCACGTGTAAACAAGTCCAAATCCAGCCCACCACACAAAGTTAGCTCATCTGTTTCCAGTTGCATAACGAACATAATCAAACCTCATCCTGGCCCCTACAAACAGCTTCAACTCAGAGGATCAAAATATGTCGATTTAGGGATTATTTTCCTGTTACAGATTGCCAAATTGTAGAGTTTGTTTGTTTGTTTGTTTTCAGACTATAGCTATTTTTACAAGTCTACACATCACCCACAAAATCTGATTTCATGCCACTAAAACATTTCACACTGCAAAAGGCAAAAGATTGAAAGCCTTTTTTTCTTTTAAATTCCATAAACCATCAACTGAATAAGCACACAAAGCACCAATGATGCATAAATTATAGAAGTGAAAGGCGTTACAGGTTTTCTGTGTGTGGAAACAGGCAGCTTAGACAAAATTATACACACAAAGTACAGACTCAATATTGTGATTTTTGCACAATATACAAAAAAAATGTTATCCCCAAAATATTAATTTCACAAGCAAAAGTGCAACAGTAGAAAAAGGACGCAAAGAAGAAAATGACTGAAGAAATGAGGCTACATCTAACTAACCAGTATTTGTGTGTCTGTGTCAGCCACAATTTCATACAAGTATAATCGACTGAGCTGTGTGTGGGTAAAGTGGGTTGAAAAATTAGAACCTGTGTGAAGCAAGAGACATGCATTTACTTTTGGCCGACTTACTAAGTGAATTGGCTACAATTGTTTCAAAGACAATAAATATATTAGTAAAAGTTGAATTCAAACAATTACCTGTAAAAACTGGATACTAATTACCGTAGTACCGTAGTATATTACCGTTGGTAACAATGTAGTAATAGTGGGGCAGTAAGAAACAAAAGCTAATAATGGCACAATCCAATTATTACCACTTAATTACAAAGTAATTATCTTGTATCAACGCTGATATGTATGATGTTACCGGTACTGTAATGCTATCATTAGCCTATATCTGTGAATCTGGGTGAAATATGGGTGGAATATGCATTTGTGTAGTTACTTGTTTAGACCTAATTATCAAACATTTCTATACTATGCACGCTATGAACTAAGATTGCAAACATAGTAAACATTATGCATGCTAAACATCAGTTATTGTCATCTTAAATAGCTCAGAGCACAAGTATAGCCTTGGGGTGATGCACGCTTCTCTATTTGTACAAGTGAAGTCATCTGAATAAATATATAAAACACAGCAAAAGGTGTGTAAACATCCTGAAGACATAAGCCAACATGCAAATTGACGCAAATGCAGACGAGGTCTTAAAAGACATGTTTGCATAAACAGTAACATTAGAAGAAGTCATGCCTGTCCTCATCTGCCCCAAACAAAATGATAAAAGTGACATTAATATCAATTAAGACCCAGATGTTTTTCTGTTTGTTGTTTCTGACATAACGCAGAATTAATTCTAGTATTGTAATATGATAATAGTATTCTAAAATATAAAACCTCAACCAACATTACCTTATTATGAGGTTACTACCAGTTTCTGGAAGTCAGTGTATAAAAATTTGAATACAGATATTCCTGTTTTGTTGCTAGCAGGTTATTATTTTTTTTATCAACATATTACTATGATTAGCTTTTGGTTTTGCTCCATAGGCATATGGCCTGTTATTACCCATCTGCATAAATGTCAGTGTAATATTACTCAGCTCTTTATAGTTGTTGATACAAGATAATTATGTGTTATAATTATAATATAATTAATAAATTATAATTTTTTTATCTCCTCATTTCCAACTTGTTACCTCACTTTTACCATATTCTTACTGATCTATAATAGAAAGGACAACCATAACTATTTTTTAAAAGGTAAAAGGGACATTTAGTTCTGTTGCTCCAGTCTAATGATGCATTTTTAAAGAGCAGAAACCTAATGTATGGAAAGAAAACCCATATAGGACAAATACCTGCTGGGCCCAACAATTTGTCACTATGTAGCTAAAGTTACTTGATTGTGTACTTTGAGAAATGTATTAAATTACTTGCTAATTTTATGCTGTTGTTTCACTGCAACCTGGAAGTGCAGGTTTATGTTTATTTGATTTTTAAATAATACTGCAATATTGCAACATCTGCAAATCTCTTATGTCTTTTGTTCCAGCTGCTTTTTTATTTCTTTACATGACTGCAGTGTTATCCTAGTAACCTCCAGCTCAAGCCTAAGTTGAAATTTTAAGGAAGTTTTGTTTTGTTTTGTTTTTTTGGTACTTGACTTGAAATGTTGCTTATGTTTCAGGCACATGGTGATCATTGCAGTATGGTCTTAGAGAATAATATATTGTACAGTATTTAAGCACAGTAGCTGGACTGAAAATCTTTTGCACTTTTAAGTTTTTTTATTGTCCTTGTTTATCCTTGTTTTCACATCCAAATTCTGATGCAAATACAGGGAGTTGAACTTTTTTTTTCTGTCTTATTTAATCAGCCCTTCCTGCTGTTGGATTTTGTTCAGATTTGTCTGCTAGCCACTGATGCCAATAAAGACAAACTTCTCAACAGTGAAAGTGTTTTGAGTGCATGTTGAGAAATTGTTTAGGTTTCACTGCATTAAGGATTGCTAATATTTTGTGTACAGTACAGTGTAAAAATGTAAGAATGTACTAAGATGCATCCAAGAATAAGAGGTGTATTTTCTAATTGTAAACCTGGATAATTATGAGTCTGGGCTGAGGGTGGAAGAAGTACTCTAAGCTTAAATTGAACTTATTGGTATTACCATGTAGTAGAAATACTCTTGCTACAGATGTGTAGTTTAATTTTGCATTAAAATATAGTCATGATACAAAAAGTAAAAATTGTGGGGAACTTTGGGGTTCTTCAGAGAACTAGAGTTACAGAGAGTGATTCAAAAAAGAGGAAATAATCAGTGATCAGCAGTTCTCTGGGTGAAAAATGCCTTGTGGATACCTGAGGTCAGAGGGGTAACAGCCCTGCTGCTGATAGGAAGACAAAAATAACTCCGGAAATCAGAACACTGGAAAAAACTGTTGTCTGACAAGTCTTGATTTCTGTTGAAGCATTCAGACGGTAGAGACAGAATTTAGCATAAACAGCATGATCGCGTGGATCAATCCTGCTTTGTATCAACATTTCAGACTGATGCTGCTGACACCGTTGGTGTAGGGGATATTTTCTTGAGGCACTTTGGCCACCTCATTATCAACTGAGAACAATTTAAATGTCACAGCCTGCATGATGTTGCTCATGTCCATCTCTTTATGACCACATTGTACCCTCATATGATAACATGCCACATCAGAAAGCTCAGATCATATAAACTGGATTCTTGAACACGACAATGAGTTCACTGCACTCAAATGGCCTCCACACTCTCCAGATTTCAATCCAATAAGAGAACCTTCTGGAACAGGTGATTCGCATCATGAATGTGCAGCTGACAAATCTGCAGCAGCTGTGTGATGCTGTCATGTATCTGCCCTGTCAGATGCATGCGTACTGCAACTGATTCAAGTGAAAGATATGTGTATATGTAGCATTAGACTTGATTTTTTACTTGATAATTTATTAATCAGTCATCTCATTGCAAGAAGGCAAAGTTTTGATTTACTGACATCAATCTGATTTTTTTTTCTTTAGAAAGGAGAAAGACAAGTCTGAGAAGATGTTAATATTGGAAACTGACAAAAAGTGGAACTTGAAACAATTCGAGGGCAAACACTTTTTGTTAAAACAAGGAGAGGTATCCTACTAGTCATCTGAATAAATATACAGTGTGCAAACATGCTGAACACATTTGCTAATATGTAATTTACGTGAAATGTAAATATGCCTTAAGTATTTATGCAGCAAGATTGAAATCATGTGTTCATAAGTCATGCCTGTCATCACCTGCCTCCAGTAGACATTAATATGGCTTTAATATCAATGTGTGGCTTCAAGGGTCATACTTGAAGATAACTGCTAACAGTAATTTTTACAAAGATATGGTTGTTCTCAGAATGTGTTAAGATACATCCATGGATAATGAAGCTGTGCATTAGTATATCTTCAGTGAAAATGAACTTTGGAGTAAATACATGACATGACTATGTCACAGTTTGAGAATGACAGTGACTTCACTGTGGTCGAACAGGAGATTTACATCATAGATCTGCAGCAACTGTGTGATATCATCATGTCAACGTGGACAAAAATTCTCAGAGGAACCTTCCCAGCATTTTCTTGAATTTATGCAACAAAGAATTAAGACTGCTTTGAAAGTAAAACTGGTACTAGTAGGGTCTAACTGATGAAGTGACCTGTGAATGTCTATAGCATAACTTCTATATCATAACCATCTCACGACCCTTCAAATTAACCTTGTGACTATCCTATGTCTTTTGCACCAACGTAGTCCTTGACTACGTTCTGTTACACAGGAGATGTTAGGATAACTTCTACCGGAATGAAAATCATGAAATAATTGCACATTTTTCCCAGTGAAATTGCAAATTTCATGCAGTAGACCCTGTCGACGAGTGATTCCAAATTTGGGCCAGGATTTTTTTCTGGTGCCATGATACTGAAAGCTTTTGCGAACCTGCAATAATCTGTTTTTGTGTGGGGTGTGTAGGGGGGGGGGGAACATGATGGGATAGAGATTGGAAACCAGTACTTTGTGGAAAAGAGATCTTGTGGGGCAGAACATTTAAACTGGAAATTCAATTCAATTCAATTTTATTTATATAGCGCCAAATCACAACAAATGTCGCCTCAAGGCGCTTCATAGATACAGAGAAAAACCCAACAATCATATGACCCCCTATGAGCAACACTTTGGCGACAGTGGGAAGGAAAAACTCCCTTTTAACAGGAAGAAACCTCCGGCAGAACCAGGCTCAGGGAGGGGCGGGGCCATCTGCTGCGACCGGTTGGGGTGAGAGAAGGAAGACAGGATAAAGACATGCTGTGGAAGAGAGACAGAGGTTAATAACAGATATGATTCAATGCAGAGAGGTCTATTAACACATAGTGAGTGAGAAAGGTGACTGGAAAGGAAAAACTCAATGCATCATGGGAATCCCCGGCAGCCTATGTCTATTGCAGCATAACTAAGGGAGGATTCACTGAGCTGACTTATTGTACTCCATATAAGGTAGAAAACAATGCAAACTAAAACTGGGATTATTTAATTTGTTGAACTTTAACTTAAACCAGATGTTAGATGCCTGTATTCTTACACTGCGCACTGCATTGGCAGTTGAGTTTAGTACCACATTCGAGTATTTCGTCCAAAGTCTCAGGAGATAAAACTCCTTTTACAGAGCAATAGTTTAATGAGAGCACAAGATTCACAGATTGTGACACATGGATCATCTCCATGTGCCGAAAAGCGCCGTGTGACGTGAACAATTTCCAAATGAATTCACAGTTTGCTGAGGTGAAAAACGATAACGTGTCAGTTTGCAGCCGATGATCAGATTATGAGCTCAGCCTCAAGCTGAGCTGAGAGAAAACAAGATCCATGTGAATAAAGGTGCATGTAAACCTGCTAGAGTGAACATGGATATTGTGTGAGAGAGCTGGGAGCTCAGAGGCTGACTCATTTGCCTCTGATGTATGTCGAGCAGTGGGCAAATTGAAGCTGAGTGTCGACCGTGCTTAATTGTCATCGCCAATTAGTGCATTGTAGGACGCCCACAATGGATCAACTGTAGCGAGTAGAACGAAGTCCTTTGTGCTTCTCCAGTGGCCTGCGAGCCAGTCAAGACTCATTTAGTGGACTGAACAACGACGGAGCAGAAATGCCAACGAAAATGAAAACAAAAGACAGTTTAAGGAGGAAAAGAGGACGAGGAAAGAAAAAGAGAGGAGGAGGAGGGGGAATGTGGACAACGGTCACAGAGGAGGAAGGACCGGGCCTCTGCTCTCCCAACATGAGTGGAGAGTGCATGGCTTTGACACGCACACATACACAGTACCCCCCCTCGACATTTATCGAGCCGCTACACAAAAGCTGGCAGGGCCCCAGTGTTCCCAGTGACCTGGTTGTTCAGACGCTCGTTTGGCCACATCGACGCTTTCAGCAGCCCTGCTGATTGTCAGTGTGCTTTTACCAAGGTTAAAGGGTAGATCCACTGTTTTCTACTTAAATCCTTAATGAGATGTTTTTTTGTTGTTGTTTTTTTATTGAACGCAATTAAGCACAAAACAACCTTCTAAACAGAGATTCACAGAAGCCTTCAACAAACCAGTGACAAGCCAGGTAGAAGAGGTTTCATCAGCTGCCAAACTGTTGGGGAATTGGTTTTGAAAGACAATTCCAGCTGATTGCAACTTATTCTATAAGGTCTGTTATGTGGATTATTCACTAGCTTTGCAATTTCCAACTAATTCTAAAGATTTGGGGAAACAACGAGTTGGATAAAATAGCTTAAAAATTGTGTATATGAGGTATGAAGTGCAAGCTCCTTGCAGATTTTACAGAACAATAGACTGTCTTTCTTTAAAGATAATAAACCAAATATAAACCAAATTAACGGTCGACATATTAAAGATTATGTCAAAAATGCATCTGCGTCTTGTGTAACAGAGACATAACAGCAGTTTGCTTGCTGGCTCGCCATGAATCTGGTGATTGTGTTATTTTGTTCTTGTTGCTGTTCATACAAAAACATTGGACTGATTGTTGGTTATATTCATGGACAGGCAGACAGACAATTAATCAATAAATGCACAATGGCTACAGTCCTTGGCAAGTGACATTTGTAGACAAGAATTAGCAAAAAAAACCAAAACAGATTAGCTATCATAGGTTTTTAGCTTAAAGGCCTTTACACGCCAACTGTGTTGCAAAAAAATGTCACGAAATTCCATATTTCTCTGATGGAAACTTGTCATATATCTATATCATACATATATATATATATATATATATAAATATATATATATATATATATATATATATATATATATATATATATATATATATAATATAATATGTGTGTGTGTGTGTGTGTGTGTGTGTGTGTGTGTGTGTGTGTAGATCAAAAGCATTGCATTTATGCAACAAAAAACGATAGTTTTCAGAAAAATCACATTGAGAAAAAAAGTTGACATCAAGCGATGATCAGCTGATCCAGTTGTTGCTAAACAAAAGAAGACGAAGAAAGTGAGAACATGTGTAAAGGCTTTAACACCTTTTATACTTCCTTGAACACACCTCGCATCCACTAACCCACCCAGTGTCATTACACATTTCCTGGGACCTGAGGCTCGGTCCCTGCACCAAGTATAGATCATACAGTTGGGAAAATCATCATTTGATCCCCTGCTGAAGTTTGTACACTTAGAAAGAAATGAACCCCCTGTTTTTATGCTTGTTTCGTTTTAATGGAGAACATCAACCAAACATCCATAAAGAACTCATTACATAAAAAATATAAATTGATTTACATGTTTGCTTGATTCCCAAGCAAAACATGACTTAGTAGTTGATGGTGCCATTAATGAGAGTGTTACCGGTGGTGTTCTTGGTGACTGTGGTACCACCACCTTTCTCATGATCATCCTCACCCCATGGGCCAAGATCTTGCATTGATGGTCATTTTACATTTCTTCCATTTCCGATAATCCCACTGACAGTTGTCACTTTCTCATCAAGCTTCTTGCTGATGGTCTCGTAGCTCATGCCAGCCTTGTACAGGTCTACGATCTTGTCCCCGACATCCTTTGACAGCTCTCTGATCTTGCCAATGGTGGTGGAGAGATTCTTCAGTGGAAGAAGTTGGCTCTGTGGACAGGTGTGTTTTATACACAAAAGAATTTTGATCTGGAGTATGTGCAACTGACTGACTGATTGTAATCTGTGTGCCACATGTGCACATAGCCAATCAAATACTTATTATTAGAGGATTGTTAGAGAATTTCTTTATAAGGGAGCAAACTTTAAGCAGATGATCAAAGAATCGTTTCCCTCACTTTAGCTGTTCATCATACAGATATGTTTTTGGAAAACACTGGTTACTTTGAAAACTGTGGTTAAGGAATACAAAGCCAAGCTAAGCAACATATGAAGTACTGCTTTGGATCCATGGCATCGAACAGCAACCTTAGAGATCCTCATTGCAGTCACTTAAATAGACATTAATTTTGTCTTGTGGACAGAAATTCTTCAGCAGGCTGTGGGAAGCACACCTCAATCACAGATAAATCCTCCTTAAAACTGTCTTAAGGCAAGACACTGTAATATATTATTCATTATGTCACTGAGGGTCCTCACGGGTGAAACAAGTACAGATGTGCGTGTGTTGTGGTTACCTGAACATCTAGTGATGCAGGTCACGTCTCCCTGTGTTCTCCCTTAAATCTTAGGCAAACACAACTGGCACAAGTAATCACATGCATATGTTTGTGTGTCTGTGTGTGTGCTTTGGTATACATGACAGATTGATGCCTTCCCAGCTTTACATATGAACTCCTCATTGTTTGCTTTAATCTATCAGTGTGAGCCGAGGAGGGGCAAATCAGAAAGACTCGTCTCAGCTGATATGCTGAACACACACACACACACACACACACACACACACACACACACA